ACACACACACACACACACACACACACACACACACACACACATATTTTACTTTAAACGGTATCTTCTGTCTGATTTTAAAAGATGTTGGCTGATTTTTCCACATGTGTCAACCATGTGCTCCTGCTGTTTCAAAATCTATCTCATTTATTTCAATTAAATTGTCATTTCTTTTGATAATCAATATTTCTAATCTCACATTGTCATCAACACTTACATCAACTTTTAACTGAATTTTGCTTCTGTTTTTGTATCTTCATTTGCTGTTTCTATTTCTACCAGAGGAAAAATAAATAGTAAGGGTTTCCTGAGTTACCCTCAAGATATGATAAAAGTTTGGGAATTAACCAACAGTCTGACAGGATTATTTATACTCTAAGTGCAACAGCAGACTTTCAAAACACAAAGTCATCACTGAGTTCTAGTAGAGAAAGCTGCTAAAAACATAAAATAACAAATCGTCACAGTCAGAGCTCGTAATTTCATGTCATGAAAACAGCAGGAAACGGCGCTGCATATTTTAGAAAGCTGGTGTCTGTGAAAACAAAGCTGTTATACTCATACAATGTGTTTGACTACTGTGCAGAATAAAACTTAAACAACAGCACAGCATTTAAATGCACTTTATTTAATCTTTGTTACGTTATGCAGAAGCAAATTTGGCCATTTACAGCTTCACAAAGATGATTATTACCCAATAAGCAATTCAGAAAGGTGAGTTTTGGGCTGAATACAACAGCAGAGCCAGTTGGACTGACTGCTGCTGCTGGATTCCAGACGACCACGATCATCTGTACAACACAGAGACGAATCAAACCCCAAGGTAAATACAAAGAGGTCATCAAAAGTACAGCTTGTCCCGTGGAGAGCCACTCTGAAATTGGAATTTACCGTAGACGACTCAACAGCCTGATAGCGTTCAGGAATTTGTTTCTTCTCAGAGCCCTTCAAGGCACAGTTACATGCAAATCTTCCCCGTGGGGCCGGTCATTTGTGATTTCCCCTGAAGCAAGTGCATCTGTACTGATTCATTCTCTCCTTTTTCTCTTTACATTGTATTTAGTGAGATGTATCTTCACACTTCATAGTAGTGTGTCCTAAAAAACAGCAGTGGCTGTCTGTGTTATTCCCCGGATAAAATAGAGTCATGTTTATTGAAGAGAATGAGAAGCTTCTTTCAAAGAACGATATCAGGACGCCAGTCAAACAAGAGAATTCAAACAAATGCTTGATGCAGAGGAAGAATCAACAATGATATCATATACTTCAAATGAATATCTAGATGATATTGTTTTAATCTGCTTCATCTGCGTCAGTGAATATGTGTTTGTGCGGATGTTGGATTGTATTATGTTTAATCTTTCAGAAATAACAATACGAAGCAGGATTGTGTGTGTACGTGAGTGTGTGTATGTGGACGCATGTTTACAGTACGTGGGTGAGAGACAGAGAAAAACCCTTTCTCTATTGTGGCGGTATTACCAGCCCACCTCTCCAACTCCCAAGAGTGTTATTTTCAGCTCTGATGACTCTCAGCAAAACACACACACACACACACACACACACACACACACACACACACACACACAC